AGTGATCCTACTGTGTAGCCATGATACTCACTGTGTAGTTGAGAATCACTGGAGTGAAAAAGCACTTGGTCTTTACCCCCAAGACATACAAACACTGCTTAATTCTTCCAGCACCTGTATTGTCTCATCTAATAATCTGTGTTCTGGAAGACAAATCTGAAATGGTTGCTTTCATTTTCAGCAACTGATCCAAAAAGTTTGGAGAGACAAAGGTGAGATCCACAAATCACACACTGGACTCCACAGTACTCTTTTGCCCCCTCATTATATTCTTTGCATAAGATCAAATCAACAGGAGATCAGGGGAAAGGGGCAAAGCAGGCTTAATTTGTATTTCTTAGAATTTTTTTATTTGGGAAGAGAAATAAACCATGGAGCCTTGCTTTGCACAAGGAAAAATATTAAAGTTACTGTGTGCCATTATTATCTATTGAAATCAGAAGCAATTTAATGAAGTTACATCCTGGAATATATGACTGTGTCCTCAAGCCCACTTGTCCCTATCACAGAATTTTGAGATAATTTAAAGGGACTGAGTTTACTTGTATCACCCCTGTTTCTAAAATAGCACGATGCCATACAATAAGAATATATCCAGGGAGACCACATGATCTGGTAGAATGCAGAGTTTGAATCCCTGATCCAACACTTAGCAGCTGTGGGCACTCAGCTTAAGAAAGTTAACCTCTCTAAGTCTCATTTTTGTCATCTATAAAATGGAGGCAATATATAACCTTTCTCAAAGGCTCCTGAAGGGTTTACTGATAATACATAGCATCTGACACTTAGAAAGCTGTCAGTAATTGTTAGCAATTACCATTTGGGAAGGTAATTTTTTAAAAAATCAAGTCTTGAGGATTAGCACTAAATGAAAAGTTATTGCAGTCCTGGTTTGTAAATGCCAGGACACTAGAACGATACATGTAAACAACTATTTAAAGGAACTATCTAAGGAAGATTACAAATTAGCAACGTTTGGTGTTTATAAACAAATACTTCTTGACTTTGGATATCTAAATTACATTAAAAAAAAAAAAAAAAGAATAGGCCCAGGCCAGTGTGGCTCAGTGGATTGAGCGCAGGCTGTGACCCAAAGGGTCACTGGCTTGATTTCCAATCAGGGCACATGCCTGGGTTGCAGGCCAGGTCCCCAGTGGGGGCCACATGAGAGGCAATCACACACTGATGTTTCTCTCCCTCTCTTTCTCCTTCCCTTTCCCTCTCTCTAAAAATAAATCAATAAAATATTAAAAAAATAAGAATAGGGTTCATAAGAATGAATGGCCATAAATGGCCAACTTTGTATGGTGAAATTTTGCTAAAAGCTCCCACTTTTAGTACTGAGGTTTTTTTCTCTTCATGTGAGTTTATCAAGGAAGTGTTTATTAATATTAAATATCCAAATATTTAACTTCCTAAGTAGGACTGATTGCTTATTTATAGCTCATTGAAAAATGCCAAATTTCTTTCTAAAACCCATCTCTGTATTAATTAATGGTTCAAGCTCTTCTTTGCAATAAGTCACTAAGCTGGGACAGTGGCCTCAAAAGATCTATATATGAGATAATGATAATAATACCAAGCTTGCAGTGAAGTTTTGAAAACTAGATGAGGTAACATAGATGAAAGGACTTTGAAAATGATGAAACACTGTGCGAATATTCCCCTTTTGCAGCTGCGGCTGCCACGGCTGCTGACTAGGAGGAGTTCATCCCTGGGCACATGGGGTGTCCATCCTCCTCAGAGACATAGTTGTGATCCAGCACCATGTGATGAGACACAGAGAGTCCTCCTAGACTGAGAGGAGGAACAGATGAGCAGAGTGACCAAGGATGTGACATTGTGAAGGAGGCAGGATAGGGGTGGGGGGGCTGGCCCCACGGATGGGCAAGAGATGGATGAGAGGAAGGAAGAGGCCCTGCAGGCAAGTGGTCCAACAGAGTAGCACAGAGTGCTCACAAACAATGTGGAGTACAGAGTTTGTGGAGTACTTCAACTCTGAAGTAGGGTTTGTGCAGAGAGGCAAAGTGTGAGATAAAGCTGGGTACAGATGGAGAGCCAGTGCCTATAACATCCAATAATATTTCAAGTAGGCCAATTCTATATCTATTCTTATTATCCACTGAATATTTATGTTACTTATATTCAAGGTTATCATTTATCAACTTCCAAACCTCATTTAAAAAGTCCCACAGATGTAGCTGAGGGTTCTTACACTTCTGCTCATTCTTTAGTATACCAGAGGGAGAAAGACAAGTAGCAGGAAATGGGCCAAGAGGAGAACTGGAAACCCTGGCAGTATGCTCAGAATGCAGGCCATTCAGCAGGCCAAAAGGGAAGGCAATAAAGCAGCAATGTAGGCTGCAGGCGGGCTGGAGCAGGAACCAGGGAAAGGAAGACAAATGACTGTAACCACCAATTTGCAGGGCCATGAAACCTGAACTCTTCTGGATCTGCCTTCCTGGCGAGTTCTCTGGCTCCAAAACCCTGGAAAGGAAAACTGATACCCATAAAAAACTGGCTGTGTAAGTGCAAAGTGTGATAAATGCTTCATCTTGATTAAAGGCAGTGTTTTTTCTGACAAAGAAAAGCTGTGGCTGGTTGACTCTGCGAGAGGTTATAATGCGTGGGAGTTTAAGAAAACTGCACGATGCATGTTGCAAACAGACATGCTGAACATTAGGAGCTGGGTGGGGAGAGGCAAATAAGACAGAGTCGTACACATGAGGGGTAAGGAGGAGCAGGTGCCCTGTGTTGCACCTCAAACAGAGGAAATCAGGCTGGACCTGTTTTTCACGGGGACTGTGGTCTCCAAATGAATCAACTGGTTGGCTGGAGCATTGGAACTCAACCACAGATATTCATTAATTTTCAGTAATGCCATGGTTAACACTCCTCTAGTTTCAGTCTGAACCCTAAGACCCTTTAACCAACTCTTTTCTGTCCTTACATGGACCGTCACTTAACCTCAGTCTCAAGGGATGGAGCAGAATAACCGATAAGTGAATCCAGATCTAACTATAAACAAAACAATCACTATTACTTACTAAATGAAATCCCAGTGTAACTGTCTTGACTAAACTGAATAAAGATTTTTTTAAACACTGGTGAACCTTGTAAAATAGAAGTCAAAATTGCAAGTGTGCTAAAGCTACTCAACCAGGACAAAAGTTGAAATAAAAACGTTGTTATATCAAAACCAGTTGCATACCCATCAAAGCTTCCTCCTCATGCACTTGTTCAAGCTCCTCCTTGGGGCTGTGAAACTCCTCCTTGGGTACAGGCTATGCTGAGCCCAGAAGATAATTTTAGGAAGGATTTATTGTAACGATGCTTAGGAGGACACCAATGTCATATCTGCTTGAATGTCTGTGGAGAAGCAGGTGCGATCAATCCAAAGGTCCTATCCCTAGGTCACCCTGAAGAATAACAGGATGGAAGAGCAGATACACCTCTGAGGAATGTCACACTCCTGTTCATGCTGGGGGAGGATCTGGATGGAGAAGTAGGAGAGGCAGCAACCAGGGAAGGAAGAGGGGCAGGGGGAGAGCTGGAGAGAGACGGAAAATATACACGAATGAGAGACGGAACAGCAGGCATGGCAGAATGCCCAGGCATGCGGGCAGGTCAGGAGACAGTAAGGGCAATAAGGAGAGATGACAAAGGCTTGTAGGCTGCAGGCTTGTTGAAACAGAAACCAGGAATGAGGCAGGAGGAAGGAAGGGGAGAGCACGGTGATGGGAGCAGCGGAGAAGCCTAACAGCAGTAGGATGGAGAGAGAGAGAAAGAAAGCAAACACTTGCCCTGGAAAAAAGAGTAAAAAGTAGACTTGTGAACATCCAAAGGCCATGATTTCTAACATCCTCAGAAAGAGGCAAAGAGAAGCCGATTAACTGAAAATATTTGGTCATGATTGATGCTTAGACAAGACCAGAAGTGAGGGCTCTACTTTCTGGGTTATTGATTCTTGGAGGATGCTAAAGATTCAACAGCCTCTCTCTATGCCCTGATAGCCTGCAACTGTTCATCAGAGAATACTCTTTCCATGTACTAAAAGGAGAATTTATATTCCTATGGTGTTTCAAGGTCCACTTATAAAGTGCCTCCCAGAAGTTATCACTGTCCTTACACTGAGACATCATGATATTTTACATAAAGACATTTTAAAGCTCGAACAACACAACCCTCAATGACAACAGCAGCCAGGCAACCCCACACTGTGATTAGCCACCACAACTTGGGGGCAAGAATTAAAATCACTCATTGAAATCTGAAAACTGTGGGGTTTAATAAACAAGTGCTTTATATATAAATAATTTAATATACCAACCTTTTTTTTCCCAAAGGAAAAAAGGTTCATAAACCACCAGTCTTAACTGAGCTGAAATGAATATGAGGCTGGGGTGGCAGTATGTATACATAACAATGCTAAAGTTACTAAATCACTGTTTAAAACTCGAGGACTCTTAGAACTCAGTCAGTACCTGAGCCCTCCCCCATCACTAAACTGAAATGCTTCTTATTTCTAACCTACCTTTGCACTGACTGGTTAAACCGGCACTGTCTGGTGTCTGCCTCACAGCACACAGTGCTCTGGACACCCCCACCTGTATGATCTCATCTAGTCCCACAACCACCTGCTAAAGTAGGTGTTATTATCCCAATTGTGCAGGTGAGCAGACTGACGCTGGGGGTGGTTAAGATCACGTGATTGGCCAAGACACACACTGAGGGCTCCGAGTGTGGGTCTGGCACTTGCAGGGCACCAGACTGCCTCCACCACTCAGACCTCTGGCCATCGTCCAGAAGGTAGGCAGCCGGAATGTGAATATTATCTTCTAATTCATCTACAAGCATGTCAAATATTTCATAATAAAAAAATGAATAAGGAGTAAGGTAATAGACTGGACTATGCTCCCCCCATACCTATATGTTGGCCTAACCCCTCGTACCTCAGAATGTGAGTTTATGTAGAGACGGGGCCTTCGAAGGGTGAGTAAGTGCTCACCTGGGCAGCACTTACACTAAAACCGGAACGACACGGACAAGATCATCTCGCTCCCTCTGCAAGGATGACACACAGATGCTTGAAGCATTCCGTATTTTTTGAAAAAAATTTTAAAAAATAAACAGACTGACAGTGTGGAGGGCGGGGCTGGAAAGCTGGATGAAAAGGTGAAGGGATTAAGAAAAGAAACAAAGCCATAGACACAGACAACAGTATGGTGATTACCGGGGGGAGGGGGCAGGGGGAGGTAGAAAAGGGCAAAGGGGACATGAATTGGTGATGAAGGAGACTCGACTTGGGGCAGTGAACACACAGTACAATATACAGATGATGTGTTACATAAATGTACAACCAAAATCTGTATAATTTTATTAACCGATGTCATGGCAATGAATTCAATTTTTAAAAAAGTAAAAAATAGAGGTGATTAAGTTTAAATGAGGCCAGTAGGGTGGGTCGTATTCCAGTCTGATTGGTGTTCTTAGAAGAATGAATTTGGATACAGCAAGGGCATACAAGTGCATAGAGGCATGACCATGTGAAGAGGCGACAGACAAGAGGGCAGCCATCTGCAAGCCAAGAAGAGAGGCCTCGGAGTGAACAAACTCTGCTGGCAACTCAGTCTTGGATTTCCTGACTCCAAAATTGTGAGAAAATAAACGTCTATGGTTCATGCAACCCAGTCTGGTATTTTGTTATGGTAGCATGGGCAGACTTAACACAAGAACCTATGATGTACCACGCACTGCCCTGAGTACTAAGGCAGGGTCCCCACTCTTAAGAGCTTTTGGTCTTGGAGAAGTCACTGAGAAGCAACCAGGCCATTAGCATGTGACCCGATAAGTGCTGTGAAAGAGCAAGTGTGGAACGCCATGAGGCACATGAGAACACCACGCAGTCTGATATTTGGTACGTATACGATAGATGATGTCTGAGAAAATGGTAAAGGAAGTGGTGGCTAAACCGAGATCTGAGAAGATCTCACAGCTGGAAGAGCCTCTGGTTTCCACGGACCAAACACCTTTCTGCTCCTGATCCGTCCCCCCAAATTCAGAGAACTTTCCTCTGTGCCAGTGAGCCCTTGCTCTGCTCGCATTTAGTTTCTACCTCAAAAACTAAACGCATATATACTTTTTAGATGCTTTAGTTTCATGAAGCTATTCAGAAATGTAAAAAAACTTCAGATAAAAAGTTGCGTGCTGGACTAGTTTCTGACAGCAAGGACTGACACAACCTCGGAGGAGGGGGGTCGTTTGAAAACTACGGTGAATGTACTTCATGAAATATATGCAAATATTAAAACTAATTTTAAGAAAATTTAATGATATAGGAAAATTCTATGATATAGTATAAAACAATTAAAATTTTGTTAATACAGACATGCAATTTTAAAAGTTCAAAAATACTGTGTTTATTTCAGAGTTGCAAGATTGAACAGTTTTATTAGTTTTTGAAATTAATTCTTGTGTTTCCAAAGTTTTATCTAATGATAAACGCATACATAATTTCTACAGTGATATATATATATATATGTATATCAAAAGAAGAATGTATTATCTTAATGAGGGAAAATATTTTTCCAGAAGACTTGGGAAATTATCTGAATCTTTTAACAACACTATAGTTCTTCCAGTTTTTAGAACAAAACCATGCACATTAGCTGCATTATATATTAAGATGTTATCATTTTAAAAGAAACTATACTTGTACTGAGAAAATCTAGTCGTGAGCTCTGCTTCCACCTCTGACTAACTCTGTTTCTGTAGTGGAGCTGGCCCATACTTGGGGCCTCCATTTCTGCACGGGTAAAATGAACCATGCCTGTGACGGCCACCGCAGGACTGGTGAGAGGATCGAATGAGATGGCTGCGGCATTGCGCCACACACCAGAAAGACCTGTTTTAAATAAGAACGAGCACCATTATTTCTATGGACTTACATGGTACCCTTTCTGAACAGGTCAGTGTTAGCTGGAGATGGAAATAGGTTTTGAAAAGCCTGTATTGGTAACTGGTCCCCAATCTATTTGTTCGCTGTGCGTTGCTGCAGCCCAGATCACTTTTGGGGGGCGCCCACGGGGCTGGGACTGAGTCACTGTATATTCCACATGACTGCTCAAAGAGTTGAATGTCATGCGCAATGCCAAGTGCTTACTTCGGGAAATGTCCTTCGGAGTCACAATGACCAAAGTTTTATACAGACAGGTGATAACATCATTGCAGGCCACCTCCTCAAGGCAAAAGACTGTGGCCATGAGGGAAGGCCCTCAGGATACTGGCAGGTCTGAGCAATGAAAAAATGGGGAAAATGTAACAAACACGTACTAGGTAAATACCCTCTGGGGGTGATCCAGCCTCAAGTGACAGGAACACCTCCGCCAGCCACTAAATATTATTTAAGTAGACATGAGAAAAGCTCTTGTATCCCAAGAGAAAGCCTCTCATCAGATGGAGCATGTTATCAAGATTTTCCCACGCCTGCCTAGACCCTCTACAAGAAAGAAAACAGAAATAGGGGTATCCAGATGCCCGGAAATGCCCTGAAATGACCCATGCCACCTAACACAACTGTTTAGGTCAGTGAGGCAAAAGACTTCAAAAATATATTTTACACAGCTGGGTCTGAAGAAGAAACTCAAGACTTTCTTTTGCTCCCTTTCTTCATCCCCATTACTAACTCTAGCCCCTAAACTGGTCCCTCCTCCCCTGTCTTCCTCCCATCTCCCTCCTTCTCTCCTGGCTGTAAATGCTCGTCTCAATTCTGAGAGTCCACATTAGGAGCAGCTGAATGTGGTCAATAAAACAGCACTTCTCTGAAACTCCTCTGCAGCTTTGGCTTCTCCAGGAAGGACTGTGTTCGTACTTTTCCCTGCTCTACTGTACTGTGTACAGGACAAATCAGCATTGCATTTTTCTTCTCAGGACTCTGTCTTAATGCACCGTGGCCTATCACTTTAACTAAAAATGGAAGAATCAGTGGATCTTTCCCAGACCTCAGCACACAGGTTTCGGATGTGAAGAAGCAGCCTGTGTGCAATTGGTGCTAAGAGAAAAGGTTGTAATTCTTCCCAATGTAGCCAACACTGCGTCATTTGGAAAAGGAACCCCAGACCAGGACCAGCGTGACATTATGCATATGTCATACCCGGGACACTTACCACACCTAAGAGCAGCAAGTATTGCAATAGAAACATTCAAACCTGCAGTTTCTTAGCCTGTCACTCTTCTTGGGGAGGCATTAACCTAAAAAGAATTTCTGGGACCCTGGGGGTGTGTTTCCAAGGAATACCTTTAATTTCCTTTGCTGATTCCCAGCAGCACAGCCTCCTGAACTCTCGCACCATCTCCAGCTCCTCCCACGTGCTGTCCTGCCCAGGCTTGCATCTCTCACCACCAGGTGTCTTCCCAATAATCCAACTTGCAGAAGGAGCCTGGGGGTCTGCTGGTCTGTGAGTACATACCCCCCTCTACTGGACGAAACACAAAGAAACATACAGGGCTGGAAAAGGAGCACAGAATTCTCCAACGGAAAGGAACATTAAGTCACGTCCTGACTTTGTGCATGAGATGTGCCACGAATCAACAGAATCACAGAGAATTGGAGGTGGAGCTGCATCTCTCTGCCTTCCCTGCTGAATGCCACTGTCACGCAGAGCTATGTCCTTCAACAGTTCTACTCAAAAGAAGAAACCACTATGTGACTGAGTTCATGGGAGTCTCTAGGTTCTGAGTTAAAACGCCGTGTAAGGCGCAGCCATTTGTGAAGAATCAGGGTACTGGCTAAAAAAGAACCGGGCTGCTAGTCCCACTTCTGGTACCTACAACCTCTGTGAGGCTGGACAAGACCACATAGTGTTTCTGGGTTTCCTTGTTCCAAAGAGAACAGTTGATCTCTAACAGGGCTGTCAGAGTATGGACACAACTGTGAATGAGTGCAAGCAGGACCACAACCCCAAGGAAAGTGCATTCACTGGAACGCTGGAGACCTCGTCCTAATCCCGGCTCTGGCACCAGCTCGCTACTTACCTTAAGGAGGTTGCTCCGTCTCCAGAACTCTGTGTTAGGAATGGGGGTGAAGCTAGATAATCCTCTCAGTAGAACGATTATACCTTCTCAATCCCTAAATTTCTACAGTTATGAGTAATGACAACTGTGAGTGTTGCTGTTTTCTTCAAAGGATCCTAAAGCCACAGAGACATGTTCATACATCTTTGGGGCAAATTAGGGAGCCATTAACCTTTCTAGTTGTTTATAGTAACATAACTAAAAGTACATATGTCAAATTATCTGCTTGGAGTTCAAAAGAACACAGCCCGTGTGGTGGACAAGTCCAAGGCCCTATGTCAAACCACAAAGCTTCCATAAGTACAAACACTACAAAACAGCCAGAAAACCACTGCTTTCTATGAAATGATAAGTAGACCTAGTGAATTATCATATTAGATAATTCCACTAATTCTAAGTGGGGTTATAGGAACTGACATAAAGTTTAAAAGAAGAGACAAAATAAAATAATGGCAAGGCTGTTTTCAGTGGCCTAAGGATGGCTCTGGAAGCAGTGGGAAAAGGTCGCTGAGCTCACAGTTCCAGCCTATCTCGTCCCAAACCACTCAACAAACAGCAATCTATATAAAAACAGTGTGCTTGCCAAGCAAATGCAGTTTCAAAACAGGTTCTCTGGGTGCACCGCCACCCCACCTTGCACCTGGCTGCTGCTCTCCACGTGTCTGGATTTGCTACGAGCAAGAAGGGAAACAGCAGTGGGCTGGGAGAACTTCGTAACTAACTGTGGGACAGTCAGCCACAAGGTCAAGTGTAAGGGCACTGAAAGATAAAAGAAAACTATGACCCTGGTGGAGTTGCTACACCTCTCGCTCATTCAGCTATCTCCCCTTTAAAAAAATTCCTCACCCAAGGATTTGTTAATTTTAGAGACAGAGGAAGAAAGAGAGAAAAAGAAAGAACAGTGTTAGAGAGAAACATGGATCAGTTGCCTCCCATACATGTACATGCCCTGACCGGGGATAGAACCTGCAGCCTCCTGGTATATGGGTGACACTCCAACCAACCGAACCACTTGGCCAGGGCTATCTTACTTTT